CCTTGAACTCACTATGTAGCCCAGGCTGCCCTTGAAATTGCGATGATCCTCCTGCCTCAGCCTCCTGAGTGCTGAGATTACAGGCATGTGTAACCACACCCACTTCAAATTCTTAATCTACACTTCCAACCCAAATGTGTCTACAGGGCACTGGATTTAAATATCCCCCTACTTATCAAATGTCTGTTTGAATTTCTCCAAACCCCACAACCTCAATGTAATCTAAATTGTATTTATAATCTGTGTCTCAAAATTTCTCCCTTTAGTATTTATATTAGTATTTTATATTTAGTATGTAGGTGAATTTCATAGTTCTCTTTTCTGTATCTTGAGCATTCTTTCTCATTATAATACTACATACAGTATAATAATCCAGAGAGTTGTCAAAAACAGAAATTATGGAATACTTTAGCCACCCTTTCTCATGCTTCTCATACAGATACCATGTCCTAGAAAGCTTATTTCCATATTATCTCTTGATTGTGTCCCCACCCTTTTTAATATCTCCATTACCTTTACCATATTCCAGTTTCGCATTATTTCCCACCCAGTCTGCTGCACCATTCTTTGGATCAGTGTCTCTATTTTCCGTTTTGCTTTCTACTGATCAACACTATATCCCTCCTAGCATGAGTCTTAAAATCCTAAGTTGATCATGCCACTTACTTGGTTAAATTCCTTTATTAGCTTCTACAGCCTTCAAAACCCAAAACTCCTTAGCAGAGCCCCATTGTCTGCTGTATCATTTTCCAAACCTAAACGCCTGCGCACTTCATGCTGTTCCCTCTTCCTAAAGATTTCTCCCTTTCCTCCATGTCTTAGTAAGTTCTAAATACTGTTAACAATTCAGTCAGAGGGCCTAGGCATGTTACTCATTGGTAGGGCCCATGCTTAGCATGCACAAGACTGTGGGTTCAATCACCAGGGAAAGGAAGGAAGGAAGAAAGGAAGGAAGGAAGGAAGGAAGGAAGGAAGGAAGGAAGGAAGGAAGGAAGGAAGAAAGGAAGGGGGAGGGAAGGAAGAAGGGAAGGAGGGAGGGAAGGAAGGAGACAGGGAGACAGGGAGGGAGGGACAGAGGAAGGAGAGAGAAAGGAAAGAAAGAAGGAAAGGAAGAAAAAGAAAAAGAAAGAAAGAGAAAGAAAGAAAGAAAGAAAGAAAGGAAAGAAAAAGAAAGAAAGAAAAGAGAAAAAGGAGAAAGAAATAAAGAGTCAGACAAATACCCAATAAGATGATAAGATGGCTGGCTATAATTAAAAAGTTAAAAAACAACAAGTATTCATATAGAGATGGAGAAACTGGAATGCTCATATCCTGACAGTAGAAATGTGAAAGATGCAGTTCCTGTGAAAGACAGCAGTTCCTTGAGAAACATATAATTACCTTATGACCCAGTAATTTTACTCCTAGGAGTACACCCCTACAAAATTGTGAACAGGTATGCTTTTAAAAACATATAAAGGTGGGGCTGGGGATTTAGCTCAGCGGCAAAAGCGCCTGCCTGGCAAGCGCAAGGTCGTGAGTTCGGTTCCCGGTACCGGAGAAAAAAAAAAACCAAAAAAAAAAAAAAAAAACATATAAAAGTATGTTCATAGCAACAGTGTTCATAATAGCCAAAGGTGAAGACAACCCAAATTAACTGATGAACGGATGGATAAATAAATGTGGCACACTTGTGCAGTGAAATATTATTTGGTTAAAAAAAAAAGAAAGAAAAACATATAGTTGAAGCTTGAAAATATGCTAGGTAAATATGCTACAAAGTACCACATATTGTAGAGCCAATACCACATATTGATAGGAAATGCCCAAAATAAGCCAATAAGTAAGGATGGAAAGTACATAGTGGTTGCCTAGGACTGAGAGGTTGGCATTGAATAATAGCTAAGGGCAAGAAGGTTTTCTTGGGCCAGTAAACTTTTCTAAAATTGTGGTAATGGATAGTACAACTCTGTGGATGTGTTAAGGCCATTGATTTGTACAGTTTGGATGAATTGTATCGTTATGTAAATACTATCTCAGTGACATTGTTTAAAAAATTTTCCTGGGCCAGGGAGATAGCTCAGCAGCACAGCACCTGCCTGGTAAGTGAACGGTCCTGAGTTCAATTTCTGGTACAAAAAAATGTTTTTCCCAAGTTGTCTCAGCGGCACATACTTATAATCCTAGCTACTAGGAAAGCTTAGAGGCAGAAGAATAGTAAATTCAAGCCTAGCCTGGGCAATTTAGTGACTTAGCCAGATCATGTTTCAAAAAATTTTTTTAAAGGGCTGGGGATATAGTTCAGTGCAAAGGCTCTAGTTTCAATCTCTAGTACCTCAAGAAAGAAGAGAGAGAGAGGAGAGAGAAAGGGAAGCAAGAGAAAAAAATTCAGTCAGTAGTAGCCATCTCCAGGATCCCTTCTCATATGTCCAGAGTTATAGAGAGCCCTTCCCAGTCCTTATCAAGACCCAGGAAGTTTACATTTGTAATCCCATGAAAAGTTTTTGGAATTCTAGTGGGTTAATTCCAATCTACCTCTTGCAGTGCAATCCATGGAGAGAATAAAGACGCTGAGGCATATTTGTAGTTATGGGGAGCCAAGGGGTCCTAAGGCCAGCTATGATGATCGCTAACCAGAACAAAGGCCTCACCCCAAGGCCAAACCCAGGTTTTATTCATTCATGAAGAAAGGAGCGGCTTGAGGATGAGTGGCTGTGAGAATGGCAGGAAGTAGGTGAGCGCTGTGCACTGGACTAGTTAGGAGGCCTGAAATCACCTCTGCAATATGCAGAGAGGATGTGCAGAAAGAGTAATCTGCATAGCACAACTCAGGTAGTATCTAGTGTTTCGGGGTCGGTGCTTTAGCTCTGATGTGTAATCTTTCTAGCCCCAAGAAGTCATAGCCTCTAACTCAAGGCTTACTCCCAGCCCCCAGCCGACAGCATCAGCATTGGCTCTTCATCCCTGGCATCCCGCCTCATCCCAGCTCACACAAGGGAGCACGGGGAGGAAACACAGCTGCCGTCTTCAAAGACTACCATCAGCCCTTGGCTGGACCTATATGCATCGCTTAAAGCCAGCTGAAGGAATAGGGAAAAGTCCCAGCCAGCTCTGTCTACATGTCAATACATGGAAATAGGGTCAGGCTCAGCCAAAACGGAGACAACTGCTCCTCCTTCGAGGAGAGTCGCCCAGGTGGTCTTCCACATAGAGTAGCAGGCCTTTCACCTAACAGTTCCCATAGCAGACATTTTTGAGTGAATATTCTCTCTTCCCCTTTCTCTTTCTCTAGGTTTCTAGGAACATGCCTGACCTTCAGACTTCCCTCATTTGCCATAAATGGGTCATAGTCCTTTCAAGACAGTCACTACAGAGAAAGGGGATTTCTCTGCTTTATTTGAACTAACCAAGATAGACTCTCGTGGGAGTAGCTTGGGTTCACTTCCCTAAAGCGCCTTACTGGGAAGAAGACGGTACATGTCTAAGCCAGTCTGGGGTACTGTTTGCAAGACTGAGGGGGTGAATAGTTATTGATTTGGTAACCAATATTGTCTGCTACACAATCACACAATTGGGTAGAAGGTTGAAAAAAAGTAACTTCTGGCTAGATCATAGCATTTCAGATTGTTAGAGAGTTTTTTTCTAAAGAAAAAAGCCTTGAAAGTTTACAGACTTTCAACTGATATTTCCTAGCCCCACAACCCTGCATCATGAAAAATTTAGTCAACTATTTTTAGAATATTTCAAAAGCATAGCCAGTGTTATGGCTTGCATCTAAATGTCTCCCCAGGGCCTCTTGCAGTCAAAGAGGGGGTTTTTCAGAGGTGGCTAGATCTAGGGTGTATGATGCTAAGATTAAGGATGCCATAATAGGACTAAGGGTATGAGTGCTACTCGCCATAAGCCTGGATAAAATATACAGAGAAAAAGAGCACTGCTCTTGTCTCTTGTTGCTTGCTTGCCTTTACTGTCTTCTCCCGCCATGAACTGTTTCTCCTCTGAGATGCCCCGCTGCCATGCCACCCTGCCTTGAAGCCAGCCAACTAGGAACTGAAACCTCTACACACTTTGAGCCAAAATAAACCTTTCCCCGTTTAACTTTGGGCATCAGGCATTTTGTCTCAGCAATGAGATGAGTAACTGAAACAGTCTCCAAACTGTAGGCTTTGTGGGAGCAAAAAAATCTGACTTCACCATAAGGCCAGTTCTTGTAAGAAATTAGAAGTATGCTTGGAGTTGATAAAGAAAAACTAAGAAGTGTGTCAAACATTTGTGCTAGATACACCCATGGAAGGGCTATTTTCCATCAAGTAAATCAGACGTTTTGTCTAAACCAACAAAAATGAGAGGGAGGGGTTAACTTTGGTTTTGTTTTTGTAGAGTATTATTTCTTTAACTTAAATAACACAGTCACAGATATTAATTGTAATTTTAACACTTAGCTTTTTTGTGGTAAGTCACTGAATTGAGTATTTCCCAGTCTTAGTTTAGTAGGTATTTGCTGGGTCATTTGTGCTATACCTGAGGGGCTCCTTTGGTGATAATCACTCAAGTCTTGTTTACTCTTGTGAATTCATTTGATACAAGGCTTGTCATTGGGAAAATATTGAGTAACACTGGGGTCGCCATGTCTTCCTGGGTGATATAATTAATTTCAAAGACATACTAATGCATTTTATATGGTGGCACCCAGAGTTAATTTAGATTTGTTCCATTTATTGAAACAGAGAGCTAAAATCAAAGAGAGAGGAGAGAGGGATTTGTATGCCTTGAACTCTACCAGGGCTCTTCTTCACCTATGCTTTCTTCTTAATGTACTCATAATTCTGTACAAATCAGTACTTCAGAAGGCCTGAAGACCAGAAAAATTATGCAACTGGCCTAAATTTATATCATGAATATAAATGGTGGAGCCAGTCATATTGACTCTAAAATCTCTGGAGTTCCCCCAAATTATAGTGTGATGGTTAAATGGATCTATGTATTTGTTTGAAAGCATACCAAAAATCCAAACACCAAAGTTATCTGTTGCTGAATGATATTTTATTAGCTTAATAATTTGGGCCTGCCCTTAGCATTAATAAGCTTCAGCACTAGTCACATTTTTATTCACTGGTGGGGAAACTTTCTTGTTTTAAAAAATGCAATTAGAGAAAGGGCATCTACTTCTTGGGGGCTGCGGTGACAGCAGGCTTCTCCTCACGAGTGATGGGAATGGTGCGCTCAGGGACAGAGACCTGTTTCCTTGGTCCATTCACAGTCAGGACCCCATCAGACGACAGGGAGGAAGTAATGGTGAGAGGGTCCACATCAGCTGGGATCCGGTATTTCCTGTGGAACTCCCTGGAGATGAAACCGTGTTCATCCTAAGAGAATGAAGAAAGAAGCGGAGAAACAAGAACAGGATATACCATGTGCCTGGAACTCAAGACATTCACTCTTCTTAGATGATACCAAATGCCATGACAACATGAGGAGAAAACTAAATAGCTTTTTATTTCAGGTTTGAGACTAGGATAAAGTTGCATAAGTAGTCACTCCTAATGATGAGAGGCCAAGAATCTGAAACAACCCAAAACTTCACAGTACTTCAACCTCTGAGGCATAGTTATATTTAGGGGTATTTCTCAAAGACTTGCTTTAGATGAATATGGGCTGAACATACAGGATTTGGAAACACTTAGGAACTGAATCTCTGAGGAAGCTTAGAAACTGTCCTGCCTCTTTAGAAATGTCTCTGAATGTTCCAGACCAATAGGGGAAACTGTTACCCAGTTTTAGAACACAGGAGCAAAACTGAAAGAGCCTGAGGACATTAAGTTGTACTAGTTACATACAGGTTCTGAGTTACCATTAACTAGGACACAATTTAAAAAGCCTTTTCAGAAAGTCATAAGAAACTTCCATTTATCAGAATTCCCCAGAATTGTTGAACCCAACCCTTACGCCTGCTGAATTCCAAGCATCTATTCAATCAAGTCCTCAATTAACTGATGTTCTCATGGGCTGTAAGAAATCAGGAACTCAGGGGCTGGGGATTTAGCTCAGCGGCAAAGTGCCTGCCTGGAAAGCGCAAGGTCGTGAGTTTGATTACTAGTACCGGAAGAAAAACAAAAAAAAGAAATCAGGAGCTGAGTACAGCTCTGAAATGTCACCAAAATAAGTAGGTTTCCATCAAGATGGGTTAACAAGAAAAAGTGGAATCCCGAACATCTAAAAGAAAAATTACAAACTCTAGTGCCACCACACCCAGCAAGGAAGCTTTTTATTTTTTTATACTTTAAAGTTTTAAAATATTTATTCATTCAGTTTAGTTCAGCTTAGTTTTGTTTTATTTCAAGACAGGGTCTAGCTGTGTAGTTCAAACTAGTCTCGAACTCAGTATGTAGCCCAGGCTGGCCTCGAACTTGTGGCCATCCTCCTGCTTCAGCCTAGCTTTTTAAAATGCTGTTGTTGAGGCGGGTATGGTGGCATACATCTGTAATCCCAGCACTTCGGAGGCTGAGGCAGGAGGTTCACCATGAGTTTGAAGCCAGCCTGGGCTACATAGTGAGTTCAAGGCCAGCCTAAACTACATGGTGAGACCCTGTCTCAAAAAAGAAATGCTGCTATCTTGAGAAATACCCTTAAAATTCTGATTTAATTGGTGTAGATATGCCTGGGCATTTGGATTTTTGAATATTTTCATGAGCTTAATGCATCCAAGGTTAAAAAACACTGCTTAAATGAAGAATGAATATCTCATCCACCCTATCCAAGGTAATCAAAACAGACAACTATGGCCAATTTTCTGGGCAAAAACAGCAACAATGAGAACAACAGATTTATTCCTAATTTAGCTGTCTAGACGTTGACTTATAACCCCTGATCCGGCCCTGTATCTGTTTTGAGATTGGAATACTGCCTGGCTGTAGGTGGGCAGCAGTCCCTAACCTATGGACTCCATAAATGAGCAGGAAAAAAGCTACATACCTGGCGCTCCTCATGCTTGCCGTGCACCTCGATCACATCTCCCAGCACCTTCACCTTGAGCTCCTCTGGGGAGAAATGCTTCACATCCAGGTTGACAGAGAACCTGTCCTTTTCCATGCGCATCTAGAAATAGCAAGGGGAGGGGAGGAGGAGGCAAAGTGGTAGGAATGTGAGTGCACTGATGCAAGCTCATCGTTCTGCAGAATTGTTTTCTCCCCAGGTAACTATTTTTTCCTTGTCTGATGAAAATCTCTTCAAATAAACACGCTCCTTGGGTGAGGTCTGTCACCAACCACCATGGTATCCCAGGTGTTCCTCTTGGTTATCAGGCCCAAACTTATCTAGAGGCACTGGAAGAAGACAGACCTCCCCCAGGGAACCAGATGGATGTGGGCATGGCTTCCGCGGTCTCTCTGACCCCAATGCCCAGCTTTGTCATTTGTCTGTGAGACAAAGGCCTCTTTTACTTGCTCAGTTCTCTGCCAGGTTTCCCACCCATTCAATCTGGAATGTTCTGCTAGTGCTGCTTGTCCTTCCAAAGCCCTTGCCCACTCAGCTCCTGTTTACTCACACATGAATATTTTTAAACCAGAGTGTTATCTGTGACAGCTTCTGTCAGTGTTACCTGTTCACCCCCTCCCACCCTCTTAGGACAAGATAAGGGGCTCCTAAGACTGGACCCACGTTCTTTCCTCATAAGGCTGGGACAGAGGCCAGTGCCCTGTTACAGCCCTGATGAATCCAGAAAATCATAAAGAGGGAACAGAAGGGAGGACAATACTGGGCTTTTGTCTCCAGCTCCACCCAGTGGGGATGAAGAGCTCAAGGTGACATGGGTCTCTCTGTGCTCTGAAACTTGAAATGATGAAATACCTCATCTACCAGGAGTTTGCGGTCTCAGAAGAGGTGAGTAAAGAAGTTTGAAGGGGGCTCTTTTCCTGCAGATCATTGTAAACCAAATTAGAAAGGGCAACCTGCTTAAAGGTTAGGAGACAGAGAATGATCTTCACTGTGTGTGAGAACAGTTAATAAATAGGATACAGAGGAGTATCAAATACAAAGGTTCTAGGGAGAGCAGTACTAGCAACCTTACTTTTTTCACTTCTGGGTACATACACACCTACCATGGCTTAGGTAGGGAAGAAAAGGAGTTAAAAGCGGTGGAGAAGCGTCTAGGATGTCCCAGGAAGGATGTTCCTGTCCTGGCAGAGCGGAGACTCACCTCTGAGAGTCCAGTGTCAGCCCAGCTGGGCATCCGCAGGAAGGAAGGCGGCCGAAGGTAGAAAGGGCTCAGGGAAGTGGAAGTTGGAAAAAGGTCAGACTCCAACAGGTGCTCCCCGAAGAACTGGTCAAAGAGGCGGCTGGGGGAGTGAAAAGGAAAGAAGGGGCGGCGGATCCAGGGGTGGTGGATAGCGATGTCCATGGTGTCTAGGTGGATGTAGGGGATCGGCTGGCGGGTCAGCTCCTTCAGCTGCTGCTACAGCCAGGCCCTTATATATGCAGTCTTGTGAAGCTTCTGGAATGGTGATGTCAGGGGTTTTATTATACTCGCTCACGGCCGGTTCATGGAGACTTGTGATTGGGGATTTGGCAGGGTGACACATACCCAGTACTCACTGAGCTAAGAAAAGAGAAACACAAACACGTCTGAGCTGGCCAGAGACTTGTCATGGTCCTGTTGCACTAGCTTTCCATCCACACCCTGGGCCCCCTCCCCCACCCCGTTCTCTGGACCTGGGACTGAGTCAGGAATCCCAAGCAGGCAGGGCTGTGCCCCTCCTCCTCCCCCCAGTCTAGCATGCCAGGGGAATTGGGCCAGCAACTATCTTGGGCCTGGGCAGGGACTGGAATCTTCCTAGGCTGGGCCCTGGGGACATTAACTCTTTGTGGGTCTCTGAAGGAGCACAGGGACAGCCAACATGTCAGTCAGTACCAGGCATGTGAGTGGTGCCCCGGGTTGACCCGGTGCACGAGAAGACCTTGACATTAATCTGAGCACAGAGACTGCCCCTGAAAGGGGCAGAAATTTTTCTTGCATCTTTCATGCTATGTGACTAGCATAATGTTAAGTCTCGAGTGCTTTGTGAAGTGGGATGCAGCGCCTGCAGCTGAGGACAAAAGGTGATGTGGAAACGTGCAAACTATGGGGAAAATCTCAGTTAGGTCTCTCTGCCTCTGGCGCAGCATCAACTTCCTCCCCAGCTCGCTGCAGGGCCAGGACCCCCAGCTGTCCGTCCTCACGGCCCCTCCGCGACAGCTGAAGCCTGTGTGGGGGAGGGGAGTAGGGGGTCTGGGCAGCCCTGGTCACACCCTTGTCGCCGCAGTCAGGGCCCCTGCTCCTGCCCTCCCCCGTCGGAGGCCCCGCACTATTTTGGGTGGTGTCGACCCCGCCCCCGCCTCTCACTGCTCCCTAGCTCTCTGGGCAGCTGGAGGGGTCGCGCTGCTCCTGCTGGGGCTGTGCCTCGGACCAGAGTGACTGCAGCCATGTCTGGCCGTTCCGTGCCACATGCCCACCCGGCCACCGCCGAGTACGAATTTGCCAACCCCAGCCGCCTGGGTGAGCAGCGCTTTGGAGAAGGTATGGGCCGGATGCCACCCCCGTGCCTCCCACCCCAACCTCCTGAAATTCTGGGCAGGCTTCCCAACGTTACTGGCCCCAGCCCCACTTGGGGCTTAACTGAACTCCCGGGGCGAGCCATCTCCCACCCCAGACATCCTTCTCAGCTCTCCAGCAGGGCTGTCTCCCCTTCCTCCTGGCCTCAGGACAGACTTGGGGCCTGCAACGCTTTGCCGCCAGCCCCCGCCGCCTAGGTGTGCCTCTTCGTTCCCTCCAGCTCCCCTCCTGCTCTTCCATTCCTGCATCTCCTGATCTCTCACTTCATGCCTGTGTCCTCCTCGTCCTCCCTCACCCTGCCTCTTGCCTTCTCTCTCTCTGTCCCCCAGGCCTCCTGCCAGAAGAGATCCTGACCCCCACCCTCTACCATGGCTACTACGTGCGTCCTCGGGTTGCCCGAGCTGGGGAGGGCAGCAGGGCAGGGGCATCGGAGCTTAGGCTCAGTGAGGGCAAGTTCCAGGCATTTCTGGATGTGAGCCACTTTACCCCTGATGAAGTGACTGTGAGGACTGTGGACAACCTGCTGGAGGTGTCGGCCCGGCACCCCCAGCGCCTGGACCGCCATGGCTTCGTGTCCCGAGAGTTCTGCCGCACCTATGTCCTGCCTGCTGACGTGGACCCCTGGAGGGTTCGAGCTGCTCTTTCCCATGATGGCATCCTTAACTTGGAGGCCCCTCGGGGTGGCCGACATTTGGACACAGAAGTCAATGAGGTCTACATCTCCCTGCTCCCTGCGCCTCCCGACCCAGAGGAAGAGGAGGAGGAGGAGGCAGCCAGAGTCGAGCCCTGACTGCCAAACACCCAGTACGCAGCAAACCCTTTTCTGCCTCCCTCCGTGATTCGAGCAGTTGCCCACCACCCCGGAGGTAGCAGCATCCTTGGGGGGATGGGAATGCTCAAGGTCCGCAATGTATGGTTTGGTCCCTGGGGACATGTTATAGCCTTTGGTTTAGTTCTGGGTGGAGCTGAATAAACCCAAATCTCAGGGCCGTGTTTGTGCTGCTCGCTGTTCTGTGGCCTAGAAGATGGGATGGGTGGGGAGGAGGAGGTCAAAGCCAGCGAGACAAAAAGCTCCTGTAATGTGTGCCCAACGTCACACTTGGATGCTGAGATCATACCCGGAAGCTGACACTGGCTCCAGATCAAATTCCTAGCCATAATTTTCTCACAATACAACAAAAGAGAGAATGATCCTGGGAGGGAAAAGGGATATGCCATCCAAACAGCCCAGAGGGCTCTGTCTGAGCTGGTGATTAGAGACACAAAAACAAGGGTCTCCAGACTGTCTGGTCCTTTTTGGATAGGGGTTGGGAAAATGTTTTTTGGCTGGAGAGAGCGGCCTAAAGCCCTGGAGTGAATGCTTTGTTTTGCCACACTAAGGTCTGCCCATTAAAATGGTGTCTGACTCTGAGGGATTGAGGGTGCATATATGGAGGCGTGGATACTGAAGCTTCCATCATTATCACGTTACCATAGCCTCCCCATCCTCTGCACTTGGGTAACCCTGTTGAGAAAACATTTGTCTGATTTTGGAACATCCCAAAGAGAGGAATGGCTGTATCACCTCATCTAATCCAAGACAAAGTGCAGGGATCGCAGGTTCTTATTGTGACGGTAACTGCCAGACAATCCTGCCTTGCAAGTAGTCTTGATGCTAGGGAGATGGTGTACTTAGGACAGCCTGGGTGTCTGTCCCCCTATATAAGTTTTAACAATCGAGGTCATGCACACGTGTGATTTGGGGAGTGTCCAGAAAACTTGCTTTTTTCCACACTGTATGTATAGATTTTTTTCTAGGGTGTGATGGACACCTGAAATTCTTTCATTAAGGTGATTATATCTTAATTTTGAAAATCTGGCAAAAGCTGTAGATCTTCTTACCAGAAAAAAACACATACTCCCAAATTTTAAAATACTACTTAAATAGTTTCACATAATTTTTGAAATCCATTCATGCCCGTCTTAGGGATTTGTGGACTCCCAGGGTAAGGTTCCTCATCTAAGGAATTTGATTATTAGTTAAAGGATTAATTTCTATTAAAAATAGAAACACAATTCAAAAAATAACATTGACTATACTCGATGGTTCATTCATTCAACAAATATTTAGCAAGCCCCAGGTAATATAATATGGGGCTATATGTTGTAAATATACATTACAAAAATGATAGTCCTATTATATACTCATATAGAATCTTGTTATATACTCATATATAATATGTACAATCATATATAGATCTTAACATCTAGTTGATTTTTTAAAAAGTAAAAAACAAGAATTTTACTAAGACTTCAACTACAACAGCTTCACACTGATCTGTTTTGCTCACTCTTATTTATTCATTTCTGGATTGGAGATTGAACCCAGGGTCTGACACATGCTATGCATGCCCTCTACCGCCGAACTACAAGTCAGTTCCTAAACTTTTCTAAAAGAAAGGGTTCCTAAACAAGAGAAAATTTGGAAGCCTCTGATTTAATCCAAATCCCCACACCATGCAAATTCTTTTAAGGTTATCAATCAACTTTTTTTGAGATTTTTTCGAATGACAGAGAATTTAGAACTTCATCAAGTAGCCTACTCCTTTTTCTTTTTGGACATAGTTTATAGAGTCTTCTTTCTGTTGAGCCAAAATCTGCATTTCAGTAACTTCAGCACTTTGATTTTGCTTATGTTCAGAAAACAAATATAATCCATCTTCCACTTGAGAGAGCTTCAGATATTTAAAGATACCCATTCTGTTCTTCTAAATTTTCCTTTTCCCAGACAAGTTCTGCCTAGGTCTTTCAGCCACGTTCTACCATGCTTTCTGCACCCCTTATTACAGATAACTTTCTTTTGAACACCAGCATTTGACAAAGTAACCGGAAATTCAGCCTGGAGACCTTAAATGATTATTTTAGGCATTGATTAACTAGTACAGAAATTCAGCATATAGACCTTAAATGATTATTCCAGGCATTGACTGACTAGTACAGATTTCAGTAGAATAATCAGTCCCCTTACTTACCACTCTACATTTCTATTAATACTACCTAAGGCATATCAGGTTTTCTACTGCAAATGCACTATTATTTTCTGTGGAGCTTCTCATCATCTAAAAATCTCTTGGGTGATTTTCTGTAAATTACCGAAGTGACTGGAAAGAGACCAGATTCTGGAGGGCTCTGAGTGGCAGGCTGAGAAGTTTGAACTCTATCCTACAGGTAACAGGAAATTATGAATGGCTGTTGAGCTGTGGGGAAGGAGCAAGCAAAAAGATGAAAAGGACACAGTTAAGGGCAAGTACAAAAAGGTACAGGAGGAGAAGCATGAGCAATGATTGGGGTATAAGATAATAAAATAAGGTGCTTTATCATCTGATAATTAGCTGAGAATTAAGATTTACTGAGAGCTTTCCACTTGTCAGGCCCTGGACCAGAGCTTTATTACATGTACTTTATTTGATCTTCATAATAATAATATATGACTGTCATTCTTATCCCAAGTTTTCATAGGTTAGTTCAGAGCCCAGGGTACTCTGTGGAGTACGGGCATTTGAGGAAGACATCGAAGAGGAGGTGACAGCATGGAAAATAAGGGGTGTGGGGGCTGGGGATTTAGCTCAGCGGCACAGCGCCTGCCTGGCAAGCACGAGGTCGTGAGTTCGATTCCCGGTACCGGAAAAAAACAAAAAAACAAAAAAAAACAAAAAAAGAAAATAAGGGGTGTGGGTTTCACAGATTCTGCTGGAGCCCATTTTTTTCTACAAGGGAATTTGTTCCGCTGCCTGCTAGCTGCTGGTGGGTGTGAAAGGAGTCTAACTTGGAAGAAAAAGCAGAGCGGAGGGATGAGATTTCGTAGAGCTGAGCAAAGAACGCGGAAGTGAGTGATCAGGAAGCGCTGAGGCCAATTCTAACTGTAGAATCACCTGGTTTTATTCAAGAAGGGGAATGAGATAATAAATTCTGTTCTTTCACTTTACAGTCCTAGAAACCTAGGCACTAAAAGTTTCAGCTATTTGCCCACATTAATTCCAAATGTACGGGAGAATGTAAAAGGAATCCATTTCTACACATTTCAGGTTTTATGAGACTCTCGGACTTGAACTCAGATTCTGGACAGAGATCACACTAGTACTAATTACCTGCAGAGCGAAACCCAAACCTGGGTAGTGCTTGGCAAACGTAAGGGAAGATTTCTTTACTACACCGTGGACGATATATTTCAAAGACAGTGTGATGTAGCCGAGAAACTTTTCCTGAGGAAACCCGGAGCTCTTTTCTGTCTCAGGTTTCTTTTTAAATTGAGGTTTGAAGCTCAAAGTTCATGGCTTCATCAAAAGAAGCTTCAGCTCCCAAAGGTGAGTGAGATAGCTCTCTGTCACCTGGAGCCCAGGCATGTGGTTCTGCCTTTTGGCTAGGAACAGTCAGCTGGGAATCATTCCAGCAGGTGCCTTCCAAAGTCCAACCTGTTAGGTTGAAATCTGACACTGACAGAGATCCCTGGGAGCTGAAAAGGAAAGCTAAACCGAGAAGCAGGAAATGCGCTAGGCTCTTTATGTCGAAAAACAGCTGGGCTCCCTGGGACACGGAGCGCCATGGGAAACCGGCTCTGCTGTGGGGCAAGTTGGTGAGTAGGACGTAGGGCGGAGGGCACAGGCTCTATTGGTGGATACGGAGGCCCCAAGAATCAGATTCAGTGCCTCCCCCTGCCACCTTCCTGTGCCGGGCACCTCCTGGTTCAAACGCCCGAGTAGCACCTCCTTCTATGCTTACTTCCTTGCTGGGGCCCACAGAAAATACCGCGATGCCAGTTGTTTGTAGAGTGGCCAGGGCAGGGCTAGAAGAGTGAATTGGCATCGATTCTCTCTGCTTTCCCTTTTTTCCCTTCTCTTCTCCCCCAGATAATAATAATTGCAGCATTTGAGAGCTTTCTATGTGCCAGGCATTTTACAATCTCATTTAAGTTTCCCAACACTTCTTTGAATATGGGGTCTTATCCTTTATTAATTTCTGTGGTACCAGGGATTGGACCTATCCCAGGTCCATTTTTTACTTTTTATTTTAAGACAGGATCTCACCAAGTTGCCCAGCATGGGCTCAAACTCGTGATCCTCCTGCCTCAGCCTCCCAGAGTGCTGAGGTCACAGATGCACACCATCACAACCGTCTTCTAGCTGCTCCTCAGAAGGGACTGGTGAGGTGGCACACATCTGTAATCCCAGCACTCTGGGAGGCTGAGGGAGGAGGATCACAAGTTTGAGTCCAGCCCGGGCAACTGAATGAGAACCTGTCTCAAAACAAAAAAAAAAAAAATGAAAAGGGCAATGGGTATAGCTCAGTGTGAAGCCCCTGGGTTCAATTTACAGTACAACCAAAACAAAACAAAGATCAAACAAACTTGCTGAAAATCTCACAGCTCCTCTGACATGGTCAACTGACTCAAGCACCTATTCTAGAGACACTATACTAGGCATTCTAATCAACATTATTTTTTTCTCTTAAAATATTTATTAGGATTGGATAAAATTGTTATTTTTTATCTCAATAAGCCGCCAGACACTTCAAGATACTATGACGAGTGAAGTTTTTATTGTTAAATATTCCTTTTCTTTTTTCCTTTCTTCTTTCCTTTTTTATTTTTTTGGCAGTGCTAGGGATTAAATGTAGGTCTCTTAAAAAAAAATAAATGTAGGACCTTCATACTGAGCTACATCCTAGCACTTTTTTTAATTTTGAGAAAGGATCTCTCACTGAGTTGCTCAATTATTCAGAGTGGGCTCAAACTTAGGATTCTCCTACCTCATACTTTCAGAGTGCTGGTATTACGCATGTGTACCACCCCCGGCTTCTTTGCTGTTATCTACAATATTCAAAAGTATCTGTTGTTATATATATTTACAATATTAAAAAATTTGAAAATGTATAATATTAAAAAAGCAGAAAATACGGAACAATCATAAACATAAGTACCCAGAGATAACAGAAATATTTTAGTACATTGTCACATTACTTTTAAATGTGCACATTTTTATCCCAAAACACATAACTTCATGAAAAGTAAAATTTTCCATGCTATTAGGTGTTCTTCCAACATCCTTTTCTAAGTGCTTACATAATTTTCCATTGAGTGGGTGTGCCATTATTTCAGTCAGTTACCAAATATTGGATATTTCCTATCTTTTGATATTATAAATACTGCTACAATAAATATTCATATTTGTATAAGTATTATTATTTCTTAGGATATTAACTGATACATCAGAGAGTATATAAATTTATGTTCAGTGCTTTTATTTTTGAGACAGGGCCTCACTATGTAATCCAGGCTGGTCTTGAACTCACTATGTAGCCCAAACTGGCCTCAAACTTGCAGCAATCCCCCTGTCTCAGCCTCCCAAGTGCTAGGATTACCGGTGTACACCACCAACCCTGGCTTGCAATGCTTTTTATACTTCTTGCAAATTACATTTTAGAAGGATTGCATCCATTTTTATTCTTACTACCACTGGAGGAGTGTCCATTTAATTTCCTTAATTTTGATCTAAAAATAGTTTCTGTCACTCCACGAGTACTCTGGGTTATGTCCAGGCATTGCACAATATCCAACTCAGGAACAGGCTCTGTTCACTAAAACTGGACCGCCCTAGTCACTTATTTTAGAACTAATATTTTCTCTGTCCCTTTAAATGGAAATAAGCGGGAAGGCAGTCCTGACAAGAGGCAAGGAATTGGAAGATTCCCTCGCTCCTAGGATAAGGCTGTGGCTGTAACCCATAGCATGCGTGAAAGTGGCAGAGAAGGAATCCGAAGGGCAAAGAAGTTATCTTTTTTTGCTGAACCACTTCTAGCACTTGGGTAGATACTAACTATTCTGACCTCTGCCGGCTGTGCAGCAACCAAAACTCATGCCGAAACACAGACCTCTCTTAAATCAATGTGAGGAAATCCTCCGTTTTTTCCCTACAGTAATACAACCAACAAGAGTTAAAGTCTGTCTCTTTCTTTCACTTTAATTAGCAAAAGAAGGAAACTTTCTGAGAAGAGGAGAAGTCAGACAGACAAATAGGGTTCACTCCAGGGAGATTTGGGAATGTACTAGCAAGCACGCAGAGTAAGTCCTAATCTATGCACTTCCTCAGACTGGAAGTGTTTTTCTGGACATCAAACTCTTGACAATCACATAGACACATGGGCTCCATTCGGGACCCCAGGGGCTCAGAAATGAACATTAGAGGTCTGCTGCACGCTGAGGACAGGATAGCTGAGTCATTCCCCAAATGCAGTGTTTCCTGTTCTGTAGACAAAGTACTCCAAAGGACATTAAAGGTTAAACATCTCTCACTTTCTCTGCTAATTAAAAACAAGCACAGGGAAGCAGAGAAAGGAGAGAGAGGGAGAGAGGTTCTGAGGTGCCCTAACTAGTTAACCCTGGTTGTGGAAGCTTGTATGTCTTCCAGAATGAAAATCCCAGATTGAAAAAGACCCAAAAAATAACATCACAGAAGCAACAAGAGGGTCTCTGGATCCAAGAGTGTCCTATTATTTGGCAGGTTTCCCTAACCTCTCCTGGGATTAGCTTGTTAGACAATCCCAGAATAGCCTTCAAGCCAGCTACCTCCCTGGCATGCAGGGACTGGTTGCCTACAACTGTATTTTGGGCTCGGTTATGTCAGTTGTACCACTCTACTTTCCAGAACTGTTCATCGGGGAGAAATGTGGTACCCTTGACAAATGCTTTTGGGCTGAACCTGGCTCAGGGTGAATCTTTAAGGAGGTGGGGGAAAGACATCCCAGGTGTTGGGACCACAAAGCAAACAATGAAGGAGAAAAGACAGAGGCCACAGCTCTTCTTACACATGGGTGATCTCTTTTTCCTATCACAGGAGCAGCCCATCAACTTTCCAGAACAAAAACAAAACAGGTAACTTTAAGGGGGAGGGGACATGGTGGGGGAACGGCAAATAAGAGGATAATAGAGCTGACATCTTTGGAAAGGGCAAAAAGGTAGAAAAGAGGAGCAGCCTTGGAATGGATAAAGGGAGATAACACCTGAGGGGAATCTCAGCCCTGGACCTGTGGGGCCTATCTTTCTCATTATCTTAGGGTGGCAGGGTTGGTCGCTCATTCTTTCATTCATCCAGCAAATATTACTGAGCACTTACAATGTCTGTGAGCCACTCTGTGGGGTCCTAAGGAGGCAGAGAGTTGCAAGGGAAAGGACCAGTAGTCCCAGCCCTGGAAGAGCTAACCATCAAGTATGAGAGGTACGTTCACTTCAATCAATAACTGAAGTACTATCTAGTGCTAGTATAGGAGATGTACACCCATGCAGTGGGAGAATGGGAGAACTGATGTCAAAGCAATGCAAGTTTACAGGTTGGCAGAAGAGGGATTGGAGGATATTTTAAGTACAGGAATCAGCTCCTGCAGGGGGAGACTGACTGACTTTAAGGGGCACACTGGTGTAGCTGGGCACTTATAATGGTGTTGTGGTACTGGTCTGTTTACTTATTGTCTCCCCTAGCAGACTGTAAACTAAGACAGAGAAAACAGTCTACTCATTCTTCCATTACATGGCACAGCACCTGGCTCAATTTATATTTGTGGAACTATCTTTAGGGGCTGGTGAAAAAGGAGGATGGATTATATTATGACCACATGGGAAAGGCCTGGACTGAACACCCTGCAAAGGCGTTTGGATATGGGAACACTGAAAGCGAAGGAAGTGGGAATGGAGGCAGAGGGAGTGATCAGATGCCAACAGGTTAACAGAGATTAGAAGAGGGCAGTTTCATAGAGACAGAGGAGAGAGAGTGGATTTAAGTTGGATTTCTTCCCTGCAGGGAGCCAAGCAAGATTCACACCGAAGCGACAGCAGCGACAGCCACCGCAGAATAGCACAAAGGTATTCTGGCTCGCTGTCCTCCCTAGGGACTACTCAGACAAGGGGTCCCAGTTCCTCAGCTTCTCACCCTGAGACAGACACATTTCAGTCACCCTCAGATGGTTGGTTTTGCCTGGCCTCCTCTGTCCCCTAAAGGGGCAAAGCAAAGGGACACCAGTCTAACTGGCCCAGCACTGGAGGTGAGGAACAAAGCCAAGTCAAGAATCTTCCTTAATTCTGTGATTCCTTACAGGGCCATAGATTCACAGGACATACGTATGAGCAGGCTTTACAGCAGTCTGTCTCCCCAAAGAGGAGTCGAGACCTCACATCGGAAGAGAGCGACTTACATTATGCAGACATTCAAGTGTGCAGCCGTACCCAGCCACGTTCTGCCAGCGAGGTGAAACACCTGCAGTTAGAAAATGCTACAGAGTATGCCACGCTTTACTTCCCCCAGGCCTCACCACGCTATGACAGCAAGAATGGGACTCTGGTGTGAGTCTTGCAGGGCAGGCACCAGTTTCCACTATTTTCATCACTACTCCTGCGCGGAGGCTCAACTGCTTTGGGGAATTTGGTGGCAGCCCAGGGATGTTACGCTTAAAGAACTCAAGGGCACTTGGAATTGCCTGTGTCCTTATTCTGTCCCCTAGGCCTCTTATTTGCCACTGTTATCTTGGAGTGGTGGCTGGGTTAGCTATGTGTGGACGGAGTTCCACAAAACGATGCTAGGTGGAGTGTTCTAGAAGGTAGGTCTCTGACCCCTAACATCGCTCGGGCTATCAAGTGCAGAATGAACAGCTTGCCGTATATGCACCTGGGCTGACCGTCAGGCTCCATGTAATGGCATCCCTTGCACACACCTGAAACTCCAGGGCTGAAGAGGAAGTACTCTAGAAAAGCATCCTGAAATTTTGCAACCACCTTCTGGCGGGGGCAGTTTCCTCAGTGGCTGAGTCAGGGGTCCCAGACCTAAGCGGACAAACGGGGGCAGGATCTGAGGCACAGCGGCAGCCTTCTCCAACCACTGGCCACAAAGACTTTCAAATCACCGATACTAACAACGGAGCAGCCCGAAACTCCCGCAGGGGAGATTTTTAGCTCTTGCCTGCCCAGGGTCGCTACCATCAATAAACGCGAAGAGAAACTGGCCCGGTTTGTTTTCTGGGGCGAGGTTTTGCAGCGGGTCCTCACTGGCTGAAGCCGTGGGCGGGGACCTGACCAGCGGGAAGCCCGGCCTTGGGGACAGGGAGGGGCCCGCGTGCGCAGGTGGTGAGGTGCGATCTGGCGGGGACCAGCTCCGGCCGGTTGGAGGCGGGGTCTGAAGGCAGGGGGCGGGATCAAGGCCGGCAGGGGACGGCGTCCGGCAGCTGGAAACCCGCGGGCCAGAGCCACCCTCCCCGTCGCCATGGCAGCGGGAACGCGGCGGCCACGGACACAGCTAACGCAGGCGGAACCCAGAAGCGGCCGGGAGAGAGGTGTGGAGCCAGGCAGACCCATAATAAGAGGTACGTGTCGAAGGGTGGCGGGTCAGTGGGAAACATCATTACCAGTGGTTGAGCAACCAGATCAAAACTGGGCACACGCAGAAGGGGCGAGCTGGAGAAACAGGACAGAGGCGGAAGTTTCACGGTCTGAACTCGCTCTGAATCTGGAAGAGTCTTTCTTGATATGTAGTTCCCGCTTCAGACTTTCAGAGCTTGGAGGCAGTAGCAACATCCTGCCCGTTGTCAACCTGCGCACCACCCAACGCACACATCGCTGCCCCTAGGTTGTTCGCTAAGGAGGCTGATTCTCTGCAGATGGATAGAGTACGGAAAGTGGGGTGGACGCACAAAGAGAGGCTGGTAATGGTATCAGCCTCAGAGACTGCTTGTGAGAATTTAAGACACGTGCAACAGTACGGACCATGCAGTCAAATGTGTGTATGTGGCCGCCACTATCATCACCATCACCGTCATCCTTCTCTTCACTGGTGCCAGGCTGGTTCTCTGGCACGGAGCTAGTTAGTGCCAGTGGGCTCCTGAGCGGGCTGAAGGACTGCCTTCACCACCAATTGGAGCAATTCCCCAGCCCATCTCCTATATGTCAGGTGGGGGAAAGAATCGAACTATGCCCAAGGGTTATTTACCATGCAGGTCGAATAAGATGATGCAGATGATAATACTTTGTACACTTAAGTTTCTGTCTACGAATTCTGCATTAAAGTTATAAATGCTGTCTTTTTTGGGTTAAAACTGAATTTCTGAGCATGAAAAGGGTCAATGCCAGAAGCAGAACTGCTGGCGTTGTTATCCCGTGGTCCTTGAAGTCCAGGAAGAAGAGAAAAAGATAGGTAAATTTTTAGTAACTAGGTTTTAGCACAAAAACTTAAGTAACTAGGTTTTATGATGCCACTGTGATAGTCCTTTTGGGATTATAATATTTTGGGCTTGATTTTCAGCTAGCCAGGGTCCTATTTCTGGTGCATCAAGATGAATTCAGTTGGTAGATTTGGAGGAGGACCCTGACCTTAACTTGGATGGTTTAACTTTTGTCCCTCCCCCCATTCTGCATATTTGCACATTTTTTCCTTTTCCTATTTTAAGGTGGCCCTGATTTGGCTCTTCTAGGGACTCTGAAGATGGGGACTCAAGGGATTGTGAGATTCTGTAACACCTTGCTGCCAGCAGAGCCCTCTGTAAGTTTCTGGTACGCTGTGGAGAGGGACTGAGCACATTACTGGAATTTCAGTATAGTTTTCATCTGGAGGATTGCTGCATCTGAGCTCAGATCCTGGAACAGAACTGGTATAGTTCCCCTCGTTTCTTTCTTCTCCTGTGGAATTTGCAGCTCACTCGAGCTTTGACTCATTGTCTTTCTGGAATGGGTAAAATCAGGCAGAGACTGAAAACTTTAGCAGTTAAGAACATATGTATTGTTTAAGAGATTTAAAATTTGTTGTAGAAATAATGTGTGCTAATTACAGAGCATTTGAAAAATATTGCAAGCTATGATTAGAAAGTAAAAACAGCGCAAGGCACAGCTGAGGAAAGCAGAGACAGGAGGATGGTAAGTTCAAGTCCTACCTGAGCAACTTAGTGGGACTTCGTCCCAAAATGAAAAATAAAAAGGGCTGGGGATATAGCTCAGTGCAAAGGCACTGACTTCAATTCCCAGTTCTGTAAAACAAACAAATAAACAAACGAAAAATGCCAACCCACAAGTCTCACATCCAAAAGCAAACATTGTTAATCTTTTAGAATATACCCTTCCAGTCATTTTTCCTGTAAATGTTTTACATGAGATCATATTATGTGCAAGCTTTTGATTGTTTCTTCTCACTTCGTGTTGGTTAATACAAAAATCATTTAAATTTTTTTTTTTGAGACAAGGTCTTGCTATATAGTTCAGGCTGGCTGTGAACTCACTGTGTAGCCCAGGGTGGTCTGAACTGTTGGCAGTCCTCCAGCATCAGTCCCCAGAGTGCTGGGATTACCTGTGTGCTGTCACTCCTGGTTTAAAAATGTTTGTTTTAATGGGAAACATGTTTGGTAGACATTATAATGGCTGTAATTTTACCAGTGCTTTGTTGGGTCCTGTCATGTTGCAAATAAGTCATTTAAGACCAATTCAAAGGATGTGAACATTTTAGTCAATTCACCTTGTGAAAGAAGAACTGTGCTGCCAGATTTTGTGCATCCTTCAGAGGAGAGCTGAATGTTAGTTGGAAGAGAGATAGGTCTTGGTAGAAACCTGGTTACCTCATGTAATGAGACCCTAGGTGCCGCAGACAGGTTGTTTTTGGTAGCGTAACTAGTATTGTGGGACCCTGAAAGTGGAGAAGTACAGTATGGGGCTGTTCAGTGTTTTCATAGTAGAGAAGCTCAAGGGTCACTTCCAAAATATCCACCAGGTGTCGCTATGTTGTTCTACTCCTCACCCCTAGAATAGCTGGCAGATAACTGGAAATGTGAATTTTAAGAATTCATGTAGAAAATATTTACATATCTGCTTTGGTACAGTTTTTTTTTTTAACGCTGCCATCTGGTGATTGGCAACTTCCTAGTCTCTCACTACTCTGTCTCATTTTTCCTTCTTCTACCCATTCGTCTGTCACATTTACCCTGTGTGCTCTGTTCCCCCGTCCTAATGCTGAGTTCTCCGTTTTACTTTTTTTCCCTTACTATTTTTCCCTCCAGTCTTGTTTCTTGTCTCTGTGTGTCCTCTGTGTATTTATGCGTAATTGTGGGCTCCAGTTTTTGGTAAAAGAATAGGATTTTGCGTATAATGACGTATATATAGTAGAATTCAATGTATCTTTAATGTTTTTCATGAAAGAGTACCTGGTTGAAGGAGAGAAAAATATAGATGGATACCAAAAATTATTTACAGTTTGCTGGAGCATATAGAAAAAGTGACAAAGTCCAAAATAAACTAAAATTAAGTCCCAAATAATAGAGTATTGGACATGGTCATGATAGATTTTTGAAATTTAAAAAGAGCCATTCAGGCTGCCAGTATTTACTGAACATCTACTATGTCCCAGAAAATATTCTTGGATGTGGGAATAAACCAGTAACAAATCATACAAGTCTTTGTCTTCATGAACTTATGGGGGAAAAGTTGATGCTAAATACATGAACAAGTTCTCAGGTGAGGTGGCGCATGCCTGTAATCCCAGCATTTGGGAGGCTGAAGCAGGAGCATCACTGCACATTCGAGGTCAGGCTAGGCTACATAGTGAGTTCAAGGCCAATCTGAACTACATACTGAGACCTTGTATCAAAATATCAAAAATAACTAAAGATGAGATATACAAGATAATAATAGATGATCTCAAGAAGAATAAAAAATAAACTGGACAAACAAGCCTAGGAATGTTGTAAAAGTAGTAAGAGAATGTTGGTGTATAGTCAGTTTCTTGGGTGACAGGTCCCAAGAAGGAGGTGCCACAGATGAAAAGAAAAACGAGAGACAGTTGTGGGATCAGGGGCTTGCAGCCTCTTGGACTGGAGCTTCAATTACCATCCTCCTTAGCAGCCGTTTATTGGGATACAAACAAAAAGCAGCAACAGGGCAAATGGGAGGAATAAATAACAGGATTGGCGAGGACAACACAACTCAATTACCACAGGAGTGAGACTTGCCTTAGTTAGCCATCCTGTTATCATTCCTTCGGCATATCTCAGCAAGGCATCTAGTGTTTTCCCAGCGGCTTTCCACAGGGACACAGGTCCTGCTATCATTTCCTTTTGCACCAATGCTTTTGCTAGACCTCCTCCAGAATCAAACAATCCTATGGCTTGCTCAGGCCCAAAGTCCCACGTAGGTAATACATTGAAAGACAAACTAAAGAATGTCCTTCTCCACAAGAGAAGATGAATGTTTGAAAGAGATCAAAACCAAGCGTGGCCAGAAGAGGAGGTATAGCTCAGTGGTATAATGTTTGCCTCGCATGCCTAAGGCCCTGAGTTTAGTTCCCAGCGTTGCAAAAACAAAAATGAAAACCAAAAGGTCAGAGGAGTTTTATAGAGGAAGTGGAACCTGAACCAGGCATAGTGACGATGTGGGTGGCAGAAGGGTGGTGCATGGGAGCATTCTAGGGACAGGGTCTGTTGTGAAAGCGTGGAGGTGAACACGAGTCTTGTAAATGTGTGAGCGAGTAAGGAATCTTGTGATCTGAGCAGAGATGGTTTGGGAGGGAGCCTGAAGAGTGGGACACAAGTTTTATCTGACATGCTAAGAGGAGGAGAGCTTGAAGCTGTTGGGCAGTAGAGGAGCAAGATGAATGCATTGTCTAAGAAAAATTAAGGTGAATATGGGCTGGCAGGTGGAAGTTGGGAGATAGCAGGTTAGTGTTGGGAGCCGCTGAAACTGGAAGGTAATTACCTGTGCAGGACAAAGCCAGCCCGAGAACATGGGAGTTCCTTGAAGCGTGTGAACAAGCTGATGTAGCTTGTTGTTTTTTTTTTTTTTTTTGTCTTTTTGAGACAGGGTCTCGCTATGCAGTTCAGGTTGGACTTGAGCTCACTTTGTAGCCCAGGATGGCCTCGAACTCACAACAATCCTCCTGCCTCAGCCTCCCGAGTGCTGGGATTACAGGCGTGCGCCACCACACCCAGCGTTTGTAGCTTGCTCACTGATTGCTGGACAATGAGGCGAAAATTAACCAACCTCTTGAGGGTGTGAATAAATGCTCTACTGTTCTTGGGCAGTTCCCCTTCTCCGCTGAGAGAGAGGATCTCCACCTGATCCCAGCTCTTTGTCTTTTGTCTATTTTTTCCTCATTCTAACCGCACTCCCTTCCCAGGGTATAGCAAGAACCCAACGGATCCTTACAGGTTAGGGTAGAGCACTTGCTTAGCATGCACAAGACTCGGAGTCTTATCCCAGCCCTACAATACATAAAAAGTAAGGAAATAAGTAAAAGCACAGCTTAGGAACCGGGATAGGTTTGCAGCCTTTGATGGTGATTATGCGCTTTCTTGTGTATTTCTATGCTGATGTCACTGAATGTAAATGTAATAGAAGTTGTGAAGACATTACCCTCAAGGAACTCAGCGGATGTGAGAAAACAGAGGAAAGAATAAGAACTTATTTCAGAAGGTCATTTAAAATCTTTGTATTTGTGATTTTAATTACTTGTTTATTCAAACTGCCTTTCTATGCCTTCATAGTCATGAATGATTGCCTATAATAGAAGCGTTAAGTTTTTCATAGGTGTGAATTTCACACATCTTAGTTTTCCACAGAGAGACGTCACAGGCAATATTTTCACCAAATGACAGTTTTGTTTAAGGCTCAAAGTCTTACTTAGGGAAATGTGTTATTATATTTATTAACAGCAGGGGTGGGCATGTTTGCTTATGTTTCCTCTAGTGTCATTCATTTATTCATTCATCTAAAAACATTTACTGAGTACTTTCGATGTGGTAAGCGTCATACAAAAAGAATCGTATAATGATTCAGAATCCGGGATTTGTCCCACTATTGGGTCTGGGACAATTTAGCTATCCTGCAAATCTCAGCATCAGTCTCTGTCTCTATCTCCCTCCCTTTTTCTCTGTCTGTGTCTCTCTGTTTCTCTCTCTCTCTTCCTAGTTCTGGAGATTGAACCCAGGGAACACTGAGCTATGTCCCCAGACCTTTAAAATTTTGTTCTGAGCCAGGATCATTCTGAGTTGCTCAGGGTGACTTTCAATTTACAATCCCCCAGCCTCAGCCTCCTGAGTAGGATTTCAGGTGTTCAATACTATGTATTCCTGGCTTCCCTTTCTTTGTTATATATATAAAAAAAAACTCAACTATTTGTGGTAATTGTGATCATCAAACATATGTATATGGATGCTTATTACAAGACTTGACTCAGTTTTGCTATTATTGCCATTATATTAGATATTTGGATAGATTTTAGTTTGTGGGAGAAGTATCTTCCATTACTGTCAAAATAATGCAAGACGGTGGAGGTCAGATAGAAGTTCAAAAATCAGATGACATGGCAGAGATGTGCAGAAAGCAGTGTGCTGCAATCCTTGGCTTCTCCTGGGCCAAGTGGATGATAGGCCTGAAGTAGTGGAAGTTGTTCCAGCTACCCAGACAGGAGCAGCCTTCCCCCCACCGGTGCTGCATGATGTTGGTCATTGCTCTAGTTAGTCCTAGTTCTTTCAGCTGACCCACTTACTCTCCCCACCTTCCACG